TCCTCGAATTTTAGCCTCAACTTGCTGTAAGATCACACCCTGTTCTTCACTTGTTCTCTGAATGATTTTATGAGGGTGATAACGAGCCATTAAAATTGAAATTTTGTATCATCTCAGCCTGAATCCCATGGGAAGTCATGAATTATTCTTCTGGTTATGATTATTAATTTCTCTTGGCATGTTCACTACTAGTAATATTCAAAGCCATTTCACGTAAATCTGTGATGCGTTATTTTCTGTTGCTATGACATCCCGCTAGCATTATACCCTACCTAGTATCCAGGCTAAGTTGTCATTAGTAATAACCACATATATCAAAAGTTATGCATTCATTTCACAGCAGACATAATCTTCTCTTTTCTGGGGATGAAGACACACTGCCAAGCTAACCCCACTCACAAGAACATATGCACAAGTATGTCATTTTTATTTATTTGCCTAATAAATTATATCAGTCTCCCTTCAATTCCTTACCCCCAAGAAGCCCTGAAAAAACTCTTCTGCGTCTGTCGAAATGACATAAAACACAGGGTGTGTACAAGCTGACTGGGTTCTGGGTATTGGGTCCAGCTCTTCCCCTCCGATGTCCCACAGCACCTCAGCCCATCTGTCCAGGTTCTATCAAGAAAGTTTAGCTCCTGCACAGTAAAGAACACAATTGAGTGAGGAGAGAGCTGCAGATGATAGACAATATTTGAAAACTGTTTGTATGACAAGGGATTACTATCAAGTATATAAAATAAACCCAACTAAACTGCAAATAATAATGTGGTTAATAATGGGTGAATAACATGAATAAACATTGTTCAAAAGAAGACAGGCACAGGGTAGATAGATACATGATAGATAGATTGATTGATAGATAGATATATTTGTATATTTACCCATACATATATTGCAAGAAATCACTAATATTCAGGAAAATGCAAATTCGCTATGAGATATCTTTTCATCTTTTATCTTTGCTAGAAAGTCTGTTATCAGAAAAACAAAAAACAAAACAAAACAAAAGGTGGTTAGGATGCATAGAAAGGGAGACTCTCATAGTTCACTGGTGGAAATGTAAATTAGCCAGGTTATCGTGGGAAAAAAACAGAGCTACAACATTTCTCACTAATAAAACTGCTGAGTACATATTTGAATAATTAAAAGAAAAAACTAATATTGAAGAGACACCTGTATACCCATGTTTATTGCAGCACTAATCAAAATAGCTTAGATATGAAATTAACATATTCGTCCATCAACAATGAATGAATTTAAAAAAATGTGGTATATTTACACAACAAAATATTATTCAGTCTGAAAGCGAAATTCTGCCAATTGAAGCAACATGCATGGAAGTGGACACCATCATATTGAGTGAAACAAGCCAGTCACAGAAAAATAAATACTGCATTTTCCAAGCAGCATACATGGAACTGGACACCATCATACTAAGTGAAACAAGCCAGTCACAGAAAAATAAATACTGCCCTCATTCAGTATTATGTGGAAATTTAGAAAAGTTAATCTGGAAGTAATCAGTAGAGTAGGGGTTATGAGATGCCAAGAAAGGAAGGAGACTGGGAGATAAGAAGAGGTTTGCTAACAAATGCACAATTACAGGCGATCAGGAGGGACATGCTCTGGTGTCCAACAGCACATTACGGTGACTAAGGTTAACAAGGTATTGTACATTTTAGGTTTACAAGTAGCCGGAAGAGAGGATTTTGTATGCCCCCCACACAAAAAAATGTTAGTGTCCGAGTTTATGAATTTGCTCCTTGTTCTGATTTGGTCATACCACATGGCTCACGTGTATTGAAATATCACACTGTGCCCCATAAATGTAAACAGTTATTATGGAAAAACTTAAAAAATATCCTTTTAATTGAAAAGGGTTTTATTGGCATGCATTACAAATGATTCAACACAGAGCCTCCTGTGAAATGAAATAAATATCATTTTTATTTGAAATAGTGAATTTCCTAACAACATAGTTACATTCATTTGCACCTAATGGTGTATTTGATTATGGTAAACACAGACAGACTTATGCATAAATAATATATTTTAATTTTAGATTTCTATTTAATACTATAAATGCAAGTAATTTTAAAGCAAAGTTGAGGAAATGTGTGTGTGGCGTGTGCTGTATGAACTTTTTCTTGTGCACCACTCTGCCCATGTGCATGTGTGGTGTGTGAGTCTGTGTCTGTGTTTAATCTGCTTGGGGTTCTCTGAGATTCTAGGATCTGTAGTTTAGTGTTTTTCACAAAATTGGGAACAATCTTAGCCATTATGTTTTCAAATACTTTCTCTGTATTTATAATTTCCCTATTTTAGATTTAAAATATAGATATAGTATACTTTTGATATTAATGTTTAGTTTTTTTCTTCACTCTCTTTTCCTTTGCAATTTACTTTGTGAAATTTCTAGCGACATTTTAAGTGCATGATTTCACTTAAAAGCTGAGCCAGCTCTACTGAGGGGTGTGCCCAAAGCTTGCTCAATGTTTATACTGCATTGCTTTTGGTTTCTTATGGTTTTCCATTTGATTTGATTTCTTCTTAGTATGTTTATATTTCAGTTCCCTATCTAGTCCTGCATTGTGTCCATAGTTTCTGAGAGAGATTTTATATATGAATTATTATAGTTTTATATATCTTATTTAATTCAACAGTTCTAATATTCGTATCATTTACAAATCTCATGTTGATCACTTGTTTATTACGACTTTGGTATTTCTCATCAATGTATGTAATAACTGTTGATAGCCACACAAGTTGGACAGTTGATATTGGCTTATTATTTCATTTTAGTCATTTTCTGCCTGTATTTGACCATATTTTTTCTTTGCCAGGCCTGTATTGTGGAAGCGTCTGTGTCTCTTCTCAGGGCTACATTTGACATTTACTTTTGTAGTGGACATCAGTGTTGAAGTCTGTTCTGTGTCCACCAGAGACTTCAGATCCTCCAGTGACACCTTGTTTTGCTTTCCTGCTTGGCTTTGCCTCTCCACCTTGTTCCCTCCTCGAGAGAATCAGTTTCAGCTCCTTCAGGTGGGTTAAAGTGCTACATTCAACTGATAATTGTGAAATTGGTTGAAGGGAATAGAATGAAAGGAGATTTTCTGACCATTCGTTGGTCCATATTCTGACCTTGAGTCTGGAAGTGAGCTTTCAGGTGTTCCTGAGCTTCCTCCAGATGTGACATTGGTGTGTATGTTCTTGTTCTTTTCCCTGGAGTAGAGGCCTCTTGTTTTCCCCAGTTGTTTCCTCCCACAGCTTCAATATTCTATTCTGGTGTTATCACCTTCCAGATTTGCTGACCTGGCCTGCAGGTTAAAACTCTGATTAAATAAGAAATAGAGGGGAAATACTTCTGAATGGATGTTAGGTGAAGGCCTCTTATCCCATCTCAGTTCTTAAGGGGTTTCCCCAGTGCCCTTAAGATGCTGGTTTTGGTGGCTTGTCCCTGCTGACTAATTTCTTCTGCAATGGGGATAAAGGAGGTGGGTCTGAATGCATTTCAGTATGGGCTTCTTTTCTCTCCCAGATAGACACATTGGGACAGAAAGATTTTTGTGACAGTCCCCATGTTTGGAAAATGGATTCAAGAGGATAGGAAAGCTCTTCAGCATGTGGTCCCTGAGAAATTCACACCACAACACGTTTACCACACTCAAATTGGAGCAATCCAATATATACCTATGTTTTTCTTCTAAAAGCCTACATTTTATATGCCAGACTCTGCTCCAGTTCAGCTCACACCATGGCTTTTTTACTCTCTACAAGAACTTGCCTCTCCCTAAAATTCAGATTTCATATTTATCTTAAAACTTCAAGTATTTAAAGTACTTTGGAATTTTGCAAATTTCAATCTTCTCTGTTTATCTGTTATTGTTGATGTTGTTTTTAAAAAATAAGTAAAATATATTCCTCATCTATGTACATTTTGATTCTGACTTGTAGATTTTTTTGGTAAGACCCAGAGTGGTAAAAGAATGCAAATATTGTTAAGCAGCTTAATATAAAAACAATTTACAGTAAACCTGCTCACTGGAATACTACCCATTATTTATAATAAATAAATGCCGTATACATGACAAGGTAAAATATCTAAGCATTTATGTTGAGTAAAATAAGCCAAACAAACAAGAATATATACTATATTATGTATTTTTATAAATTCTGATAAATAAAAATTCATCTAAAATAATATAAAGAAGATAAGTCATTGCCAGGGAAAATGGTAGAATAAGAAAAGGGGAGAGAAGGAGGAAGATACCAGAACAAGAGGAAATGTTGAGAAGAAATCACTTGTCCAGTCTCTTGACAATGATTACAGTTACATCATGTTTATTAATTGTACACTTTAATATGAGAAGTTTATTATCTTTCAGTTAATCATCATTAAATATATTACAAGCAAACAAATGGAAACTTAGACAAGGAAAGAGTAATTGAAAGATAATATGTTAAATGTCAGAAGTACCTGAAAATTATGTGCCTGGGCCCTAGTTTCTCCATATTTTCAGGTGAGTGCTGGAGGGCAGCAACATCACACTTGCTCTTATTACAGAAAGTGGGTTCCTAAAACCACAGCAGGCACATACAGAATGTGCTGGAGTTGGTTTAGGGAGCAGGCAGAGCCAGTAATGAGGAACACAGGGCCAGATACCGGGGTCCACTCATCCCAGACATGAGCTCCTACATGCATACAGAGCCCCTCCATGTGTGGGCTCACTTTCACATCTGTAAGTGGAGAAAATATTGACTCCTACAGAACGTAGTTTACACAAGTATTTGAACATGAAATAGGGTGATCAGGACAAAGTGTTTGTCACAGCACAATTTCATAAAGAACGGGTATGTTCTGAATACCATCATTGTCAGCAAACTCCTGCAGGACGCTGCCATCTTCTTGGGGCACAGCCTCCTCCTCAAGCGTCCCACCCCACAGCTTGCTATGTAGTAGGAGACATGCAAATAGGGTCCCCTGGTACTGATGAAAACCAGCCCAGCCCTGACCCTGCAGCTCTGAGAGAGGAGCCTTAGCCCTGGGGTTCCAAGGCATTTCCACCTGCTGATCAGCACTGAACACAGAGGACTCAGCATGGAGTGGGGGCTGAGCTGGGTTTTCCTTGTTGCAATTTTAGAAGGTGATTCACGGAAAACTAGAGAGACTGAGCGTGTGTGGACATGAGTGAGGGGAACAGTGGGTATGTGCGGCAGTTTCTGACCAGGATGTCTCTGTGTTTGCAGGTGTCCAGTGTGAGGTGCAGCTGGTGGAGTCTGGGGGAGGCTTGGTCCAGCCTGGGGGGTCCCTGAGACTCTCCTGTGCGGCCTCTGGATTCACCTTCAGCAGCTATGCCATGAGCTGGGTCCGCCAGGCTCCGGGGAAGGGGCTGGAGTGGGTCGCATTCATTAGTTATAATGGGGGTAGCACAAGCTACGCAGACTCCGTGAAGGGCCGATTCACCATCTCCAGAGACAACGCCAAGAACTCGCTGTATCTGCAGATGAGCAGCCTGAGAGCCGAGGACACGGCCGTGTATTACTGTGCGAGTGACACAGTGAGGGGAGGCCCGTGTGAGCCCGGACACACACCTCCTGCGGGGGCGCGCGGGGCCACCAGGGGCGCCCGGACGCTGTGCACGGGGCTGTCCCGGGGCAGGTGCAGGTGCAGCTGCTGCTAAGGGCTGGCTTCCTGCCATGGCCTGGGGCTGCCTCCTTGTCACATTTCCCCAGGGAACCTCCCAGATTTACAATTCTGTACTTACATATTTATACACAGAATATATGTGTAGAAATATATATTCTAAAATATGTATGGAACTGAGAAAGACCCTGAATAGCCAAAGCAATCTTAAGCAAAAAGAACAATGCCAGAGGCAACATGCTACCAGACTTAACACCACACTGTAAAGTCAAAGTGAAAAAAACAGCTTGGCACTGGTGCAAGAGCAGATACGCAGAAAACAATACAACAACATAGAAAACAGACGTCAAGCTGCACACCTAAACCATTTGATATTTGACAAGGCTGATAAAAAAGCAATGGGGGGGAACCTCTGTTTTTAGTAAATGATGATGGAATAAATGGATATTGACAGGTAGACAAAATGCAAGAGTGAAGGAGGCTGGGCAGCTTCTACCTAGATTTCATATGTGTAGAGAGAGCCACATGTCCAGGAAGAAGCCTGCTGCAAGAGTGCAGCCACCACAGACAGCCTCTACTAGGGCAGTACCAAGGACGGGGAAAGATGGTGCTGAAGCCCCCATTCAAAGTCCACACTGGGGCACCTCCTAGTGCAGCTGTGGAAATGTGGCCACAACTCTGAAGACCCCAGAATGGTAGAGCCATGGGCAACTTGCACCCTCAGCTTGGAGAAGCTTCCAGCACTTGATTCTCACTACTGAAGGCAGCCCCATGGACTGTGCCCAGCAAAGCCACCGGGATGGCCTGCCTGAGGTTTTTGGGAGCCAACCCTTGACTCAGTGAGCCCTGGTGGAAGTACATGAATTTAAGAGAGATTATTTTGTAGCTTTAAGATTTAATCTCTTCCCTGCTGGGTTTCATTTGTGTAGGCCTGATGGCCATTGCTTTTGCCAATTTATCCCTTTTGAATTGGAATAACTTATCTAATGTCTGTACGACCATTGCACCTTGAAATAAACAACTTTGGTATTTTTTTTAATTTGCAAGCTCACAGATGGAGGGAAATTGCCTGAAGACTCAGATGAGACTTTATACATTTCAGTTGGAGGTTGACCAATGTAAGATTTTGCGGAATAATTGAAAAAAGATGATTATATTTTGCAATGTAAGGACATGAGAACTTTGAGCCTAAGACTACAATGATATACTTTAGATGTTTTCTTCTCCAAATGTCATGGTGAAACGTGATCCTCAGCATTAGAGGTGGCACCTCCTGGAAGGTTTGGGCTCATGGCATTAGACCCTTCAGGAATGGCTTGGTCACCACCCCATGGCACTTAGTGTATTCTTGCCATATTAGCTACTGTGAGATCTGATTGTTCAAAAGAGACTGGCGACCCTTCTCCCCTCTCATGTCCCCCTCTCACCATGTGACACAGCCTGCTCCCCCTTTGCCCTCCTCCGTGATTGTCAGCTTCCTGAGGCCCTCACAAGAAGTGGATGCTGGTGCCACGCTTCTCACACAGCCTGCGGAGCTTCGAGCCAAGCAAGCCTCTTTTCTTTCTAAATCACTTGGCCTCAAGTATTAATTTATAGCAATGCAAAATGGACTAACACATTGCCTAAAGAATTATGCAGATTCAACACTATTTATATCAAATAACCAATATAATTTATTACATATTTAGGTAAAAATACTAAAATTCATATAAAAAAAAGTCTGAATAGCAAAAGCAATCCTAAGCAAAAAGACCAAAGCTGGAAGCACCACATTGCCTGGCCTCAAATTATACTACATGAATACAATAAGAAAGACAGCATGGTACTGGTAAAAAAAAAAAAAAAAAGTAGAGAGTCAAAAATAAAGCCAAATTAAAACAAACAAACAAACAAACAAACAAAAAACACTGTTCTTTGAAATAACTGAGAAAAATATACACAGGAGAAACAATCCTCCATTCAATAAGTGATGCTGGGAAAATTTGATGGCCTTATGTACAAGAATAAAATGAGAATTTTATACCACCATAGACACAAATTAACTGATTATGGATTCAATGCTTAAATGTATAAAATAAAAGTATAAAAATACTTGAAGACAGCCTAAAAATGTCCTCTGGACATTGGTCTATCATTTCGCAAATGAAGTATGACTAAGACTTCAAAAGCAAATGCAGTGCAAAGAAAAGTAGACAAACAGGATTTAATTGAACTGAAGATCTTCTGCACAGCAAAAGAAACAACCAACGTGATGCCCAGATAACCTGCAAATGGTAAATATATATGCAAACTATTCATCTTGCAAAGGGTTAATATACA